AAATCGAGACTTAGAATTAAATAGCATAAAAAACGCTTTGTGCTACATGAGAAGGTCCTTCGAGCCGGATCATTTCGGCTTAAAATTGAATAAACTTGGAATTCGCATAAAATGTTTGGCAACGTGGATTTTCTATCCTTTGATGGCGAAGTAACACCTCCACCAACCACTTCGTCGGGAAATATTCGTACTAAAGTTCGCCAGCGAGAATTAGTGCTGCAGCGTCTAGAAAGTTCCCGTGCTAGCCTAGCTGAACTTAATACCATGACCGAGTCGATGCTGAAGGTCAAGCTTGAGATTTTGCAACGCTATCTGGATAGCTTTGAGGCGATTCAATCTCAACTGGAAGAGCTTGATGAGTCCGAATTGGAAGGAACGCATCGCGCCAAATTTGAAGCTGCCTATCTCGTATTAAAATCTGCCATCATGGAGAGGCTCGCTCATCTACGTGCAATTGAACCTGACACCTTAAGCAGTACGCGCATTGTTTCGTCGTCAACTCAATCAAGATTTCACCTTCCGAAATTACAGCTTCCGAAATTCTCTGGGCATCATGCAGATTGGCTTGACTTTTATGACATGTTTTCGGTCTTAGTCCACACAAACAACGAGCTATCAGATATCGAAAAGTTTCAATATTTTCGATCATGCCTAACCGATAGCGCTGCACGACTTGTACAAGCACTAGAAGTCACCGCGGTCAACTATCGCAAGGCTGTTGAGCTACTCAGTGCACGATATGACAATAAAAGACTAATTTTCCAGTCGCACCTAAAAAGAGTTTTCGAAATTCAGCGTGTCATGAAGCCGTCTGCAACTACACTTCGTGAATTCATCGATATGGTAAACGGAAGTCTACGCGCAATGGAATCTTTAACATCAAAATCTCAAATTTCTGATGGCATTATCCTCCATCTGCTTACCTCCAAACTCGATGAGTCGACTAGAACAAAGTGGGAGGACGAGGTGGCCACAAAGTGGACTAATACGAGCACCTCGCCACTTAAACTGCCTTCGTGGGATGATTTGGCCAGCTTTCTGGAGCGCCGCTGCCAAAGCTTTAACATTATGGAGGCCAGCATCGCTTCGACAAAAAATATTCCCTCATCGCCTCCCAGACGTCATCGTACTCTGAAACCGCAATCCAGTTTGTTGTCAACGCATGCGGACAAATGCTTATTGTGTGACGAGCAAATCAGCCACAATGCGTTCAATTGTTCTAAATTCATGGCATTAGATCCAATGGACCGCTTTGTACTTGTCAAGCGCAAACAATTGTGCCTGAATTGCCTAGGAACGAAACACTCTTCAAGTAATTGTCCATCATCGAGAAGGTGCCAGCATTGCCGGGTAAGCCACCATACGCTGTTACACCGTCACCCATCTCAAGCTCCTCAAGGTCGAGAAGCCAACAAGGGTACTTCTTCGCTTCCATCCGCACTACATGTACACGATATACGTAGTGAGGTCATCCTCGCAACGGCGCTTGTGCACCTAGATAACAGGAACGACGTGCCCATAACAGCTCGCGCACTCCTCGATTCAGCTTCCCAACTGAATTTCATCACGGAACGCATAGCGCAGTTGCTTAAGGTCAGGCGGAGTAAAACAAACGTGGAAATAAGTGGAATTGGAGCAGTCACTACCACATCGCAGCAAATAAGTATAGTTGGTGTATCTTCGTTGCATTCCGGTTTTTCGTCAGTTTTGGAAACTGTTATATTGCCGTCAATTTCTTCCAAGCAGCCTCAACATCGCCTAAATAGTACGAAATGGGGAATCCCTACCAACATCAACCTGGCTGACGCCACATTTAATCAACCGGGACCTATTGATATCCTAATTGGGGCCAGCCTGTTCTTCGACATACTTTCGGTAGGCCAAATAAAACTCAGTGAGTGTTTACCGACACTGCAAAAAACACAGCTGGGTTGGATCGTCGCTGGAGCAATAACACTTTCGCCACCGTCTTCGTATCCGACGTCGCTGCTCTCGTTGCCGGCGCTGCCTTGCTCAACTTCGCTGCTTGTGTCGTCGCCCTCACTAGAGCTCAGCAATGTGACTATACAGCCGCAGCCTGCATTGGAGTCGCTGTTGGAAAAATTTTGGAAATTAGAAGATGACTATCATCCAGAAACAACAAAGCGTAAGGCTGATGAAAGAGAGTGCGAGAACTATTTCACACAAACAACAATGCGGTGTCCAGTCACGAATAAGTTCATTGTTCGCCTTCCATTTTCAAGTAACCCAAGTAAATTAGGGCATTCATTTGACATTGCCCGTCGACGGTTTTTGGCAGTAGAGAAAAGAATGCTAATAAACGACCCAGTTGGAGCAGAATATAAGAAATTTATTCATGAATATATAGATTTAAACCATATGATTGTGATTACACCAACAAACTCTTCGGCAAGCATAGGCACATATATTCCACATCATTGCGTTACAAAGGAAGATAGTTCGACCACAAAATTACGGGTTGTGTTTGATGCTTCCTGCCGCACATCGAATGGTATCGCACTCAACCAAATTCTTCGCGTCGGTCCAACTCTACAGGACACCATTTTCACTGTACTTCTTCGTTTTCGAACTCATCGCTATGTGCTTATGGCCGATATAACGAAAATGTACCGGCAGATTCTGGTCGATGAGCGAGATGCCAAATGGCAGTGCATATTATGGCGAGATTCGCCAAGTGAACCACTCCAGACTTATCAACTACGAACAGTGACATACGGAACCAGTTGCGCTCCTTTTTTAGCCGTAAGATGTTTGCAGCAACTGGCGTACGATAACATGTCCAACCACCCCATTGGAGCTGCTGTCACTCTACGAGATTTTTATGTCGACAATCTCATGACAGGTAGCAACACCATTGAGGATGTCATTAAAATTAAAAGGGACGTCATAGATTTGCTTGCTAAAGGAGGATTTCCTCTTCGAAAATTTGCATCAAACCACAACCGCATCATCGATGACATTTCTGAGCCAGACAGAGAAGCAGTAATAGGTGGTGATGTCGACTACATAAAAACGCTAGGTCTGAAGTGGTCGCCTGCTAATGACTACTTCTTTTTCTCATACGCACCATCGCAACAACGCATACCAAAAGCCAGTAAACGCACCATTCTATCGCAAATAGCTAGTTTCTTTGACCCACTCGGGTTGATAAATCCAATCGTCGTCACCTGCAAAATAATAATGCAAGAACTGTGGAAACTACGCATCGCTTGGGACGAAAGCGTACCACTCACCATCCACACACAATGGGACGACATATGTCGCCAACTTACCGACATCGACAAGATTCACGTTCCAAGATTCGTATGCATTGATTCCAATACTAAACTACATGCCTTTGCAGATGCGAGCATGAAGGCTTACGGAGCATGTGTTTACGCGGTTTCTCATACTGACGGTAGCGCACATACCTCGCTCATCACTGCAAAGTCAAGAGTGGCACCAACAAAAACAGTCACTCTCCCCAGATTAGAATTGTGTGCTGCGCTTCTGCTGGCAGAATTGTTAGAATCGGTAGTATCAATACTCTCTGTCAATCGACGAAACGTGCACTGCTGGTCAGACTCCACGATCGCATTGTCGTGGATACAAGGCGAGCCTTCACGTTGGACAACATTTGTGGGAAATAGGGTAGCTAAGATTCAACAGCTCACAGCTGACTACACCTGGCATCATGTATCATCAAGCGAAAACCCTGCTGATTTAGTATCGCGGGGAGCGAAGGTGTGGGATCTCATTGGAAATAATCTGTGGTTTCACGGTCCCCAAATCATCCACATCCAAGAATACCACTGGCCGTCCATCTCCAATAATATCGTCGTAGATGTACCAGAGCAACGCAAACAAGTGCATACTCTTGTGGTATCTCAATCAGAAGACATCATCGAGGAACACAAATTTGTCAACAATTATCTTAAACTCCTGCGCGTTTTCGCTTACGCTAAACGCTTCATCGACAAACTTCGAAATATACCAACCGAGTGTGGTACAATAACAGCACCTGAACTAGACGACACTCTGCTATTCTTCGTTATATTCAGCAAAAATCCTTCACTGCCGAATACAAGGCGTTGAAGAAAGGCAAGGTAGGCAACCAATCCACCTTAAATCAACTTTCGCCTTTCCTCCATAACAGCATAATTCGTGTTGGGGGCAGACTCTCAAATGCGTCACTGCCATTCGACACCAAGCATCCTATTTTGTTACCGAAGTCACACCCCTTCGTCCGCACTTTGATTGAGCACTTACATCGCCGCCATTCGCACGCTGGATGCCAAACGCTGCTTAGCATTATACGTGACAAGTTTTGGATAGTCAACGCTCGAAGCATAATAAAGCAAGTAATTCATCGGTGCCTGATGTGTTACCGCAACAAGCCACTTCTTCAAGAGCAAATTATGGGATCACTGCCTCGCGAGAGAGTTGAGCCTTCTCACCCATTTGCGGTAACCGGAATCGACTACTGTGGGCCGTTCTTGATTACACAGCAAATACGAGGAAGGGCTCCGATCAAGGTGTATCTTTCTGTGTTTATTTGCTTCACCACGAAAGCAGTGCATTTAGAGCTGGTTCCTGATTTGACAACGATGGGTTTCATAGCGGCCCTCAAGCGGTTCATAGCGCGTCGCGGTATATGCCACACAATTTTTTCGGATAACGCAACAAATTTTGTAGGTGCCAATCGTGAACTAAAAGAAATGCTGGCATCATTTAACTCGCAGCAACACATCACAGCAGTAAATAGCTTTATGGCCGAAGAAGGGATATTATGGAAATTTATTCCGCCTCGATCGCCCCACTTTGGTGGGCTCTGGGAAAGCGCGGTTAAACAAGCCAAATTCTATCTACGTCGTACCGTGGGAACAAACATTTTAAACTTTGATGAGCTGCATACCGTGTGCTGCCAAGTCGAAGCTATGATCAATAGCCGACCTCTTACTCCATTGTCAAGCAATCCGGATGATCTTCGCGCCTTAACTCCGGCACATTTCTTAATTGGTAGGAGTTTAACAACCATCCCGGAACCATCTCTGGAACATGTTCATATGGGTAAGCTAAAAAGGTTTCAAATAGTTCAAGCGATTCAACAGCAGTTCTGGGTCCGATGGCAAGCAGAGTATTTGAAGGAGCTGCAAAGACGACAGAAATGGCGAACGCCGCGAGAAAACTTGAAACCTAACGATTTGGTACTCATAAGAGATGAAAATACCCCACCACTGAAATGGCCAATGGGGCGTATTGTCCACACTGTTTCCGGAGATGACGGAATGGTTCGTATTGTGTTAATAAAAACAGCTGAGGGCATTCATAAGCGAGCAGTAACTAAGGTCTGCAAGCTGCCAATAGAATCAACGGCTCCACATGGATAAAGTATTGAACGCAATGCGTTCAAGGGGGGAGG